GTCTTAATAAACCCTGCCTTCCTTTGTGTAAAGCTCCTCCCTGAAATAAAACGGAGGCGCAGACCGAAGCCCGCATGTGTTATGGCTTGCAGGGCATGCGTTACTGCCTGCAGGGCTGTGCTTTTACTGCCTGCAGGGGCCATGATGCCTGTAGTCCAGGGTCTGCCCGCCAGTTTCGCATCCACTCTGGTCTCGGAGTGTCTTCTTGTCTCTCTTGTTGCATCTTTGTGTGTATTCTTTCTCTATCTCTGTCGCCGCCAGATCTCCCTACTTCGTGAACCAAACTCTCATGTCGAGGTCGGTTCTTGACAGGTATAATACTTGACTTTGTCTTCTTGAGCTGCCCTTTGAAACTTTTAATCACCTCTTTTACTTCCTCAATTCATGCATTTGCTTTTGCATCTCTACATTGGAAAGCAAGTTTCAGATTCTCTTTTGACATCCACTTTGGTCACTTCCTTCTTTCTTGTCAGGCTCATGACCATTTTCATTCTCCTTGTATGATGTTCTTGATGTCCTCCCACAACTCTTCTGATCTGTGGTCTTTAGTGTCTAATGCATCAAATCTGTTCTTCTGATGATCTCTAAATTCAGGTGGGATCTATCCAAGGTCATATTTTGGCTTTCGTGGACTGGTTTTCATTTTCTTCAGCTTCACTTTGAATTTGCATATGAGTAATGGATGATCTTGCTCTGGGTGATGATATGATGCTTTTCCATCATCTCTTTCCATAGATGAAGTCAGTTTGATCTCTCTGTGTTCCATCTGGTGAGGTCCATGTGTATAGTTGTCTCTCATGTTGTCTAAGGAAGGTATTTGCAGTGAAAACACTGTTGGTCTTACAAAATTCTATCAGGTGCTCAACAGCATGGTTTCTGTCACCAAGGCCATATTTTCCAACTGCTGATCCTTCCTCTTTGGCTCACCCTTTGCATTCCAGTCACCAGTGATTATCAGTGCATCTTGATTGTATGTTTGATCAGTCTCAGAGTGAAGAAGTTGGTAGAATTCTTCAGTTTCACCCTCACTGGCTTTAGTGGTTGGTGCATAAATTTGCATAATATCAGTAGTAACTCGTCTTCCTTGTTTGAGTATGGATATTATCCTAACACAGACAGCGTTGTACTTTATGACTGATCTTGAACTGTACTTTTTGATGATGATTGTGACTCCATTCCTCTTTGATTTGTCATTCCCTAGCAAACCATTTGATTGTCTGATTCAAAATGGCCAGTACCAGTCCAGGTGTTGATCTTTTGTGTTCCATTCAATTTTGACAACTCCAGTATCCCTAGATTCATGACTGTACATTCCATGTTCCAATTATTAATGGATATTTCCAGCTGTTTATCCTCCTTTTGAGTTGTGCACCATCAGTAAATGAAGGTCCCAAAAGATATACTCCATTTCTGTCATCACGGTCTCCTCTACTTTGAGGAGGCAACTCTTCTCCAGTCGTATTTTGAGGGCCTTCCATCCTGAGGGGCTCATGTTCCGGCACTCTATCTGACAATATTCTGGTGCTCTTCATCATGTTTTAGTATTCAGAATTCTGGTGCTGACTCTGTTCCACTTCCGTTTGTTAGGTTTTTGGGGCTAAACAGTCATAAGCAGTCTGCCTCCCTTTATTTCTAGTCTTTCTTAGTCTGGAAGCTCGGCTGAAACCTGCCCACCATGCATGGACCTTGTTGGCATGTAAAATTCCAGTGGTATAGCTTCCAGCATGACCGCACATGCAGCCACCCCAGAATGACAAAGTGACAGATGAGTGGCGGCCTCAGTGTACAGGTCATTGGTAGGACCTTCTTTTTCTCTCCTGTGCCTGCAGGCTGACCTCTCTCTGGCTCTGGGCCTCACCTCCGGCCTGTTTACACAATGTTGCTATGCTCTACTAGAGCTGCTGACAAATGTCCTACGACTGTCACTTCCCCAACAAGCTCCATCCAAGGCACTGAATTCTGGTCTGTGCATGAGCAAACCTAGCTCTCCCACTTGAGTGCCTGGAAACAGCTGACTCTAGCAGCAAGTCTCCTGCCCAGAGGCACACGCTGGGCTGTTCTGGGGTCTGGGAAGCCCACTGCTTGGGCTCCGGTTCGGGTTCTTGGTTCTGCAGCTGTTTCTCTGTCCCTCCTCCAGCATCTCTGCATCCTATCCCGGAGCAGTGGAGAGTCAGTGTGCAGGGATCTGGGGTTCAAAAGACATGCTCCACTCCCGGCTCTCCTTCCTTGTGGGTAGGGAACCCCCCATTTCCTGCTTCTGAGATGACTCATTTTATACCTTCCTTAGAGTTCAAGTTCTCACAGTGGACTCTGTTGTTGTTCATGGCTGAGTCATAGAATACTGTCAATGTCTTCTCCCACCTTCCCTGACCCAGAGTCCTTAGGAACAAAGCTGTTTGGTGAGTTGTGTATGTCGGGTAGCGGAGCCACGTGAAGTCATTCCCTGCCCTGCTTGAGCTCAGGTCTGGGTGGTAGCAGACAGGGTAAGAGAAGCGTCGTCCAGGGCAGCGTCTTCCCCTTTCCATGGATACTTTCCCACTTCAGTCCTGTCACAAAACTGCTTCGTCTCCACATCGGAATCCGTCAGTGACCTGCATCCTCCACTGCTTTTAAAACAAACAACCCTGACCCCACAGCACTAAGATGGCTCTCTGTCATTACACATAGACTCCTGCTGTGTGTGTAATTAAACGAATGTGCTTGTTCTCTTGCAGGAGTAATAAGAAGCTCTTTGAACTCTTTACAATCCATCTGATGTTGCAAGAAATGCAGAGGACAACACACCCAGAGCATGCCTTTCTCTGCATTAACCTGAACTCAACTCTGTTCAATTTGGGTTTAACAAAATCCAACCCCCTGGTCTCCACCGCTAGCCATTAGACTGTGTTGGTTTTGTTTTTGTTTTTGATTATCATATATAGCTTATTTTATCTATCTACATATATATGTATATATATATGTGTATTTATATATATATATATATATATAATTTTTAAAACTAAGAATCACCCATGTAACTAAAATTTTATCAAGTTTATCAGTAGCATCATTTATCATGAAAGATAATTAGATTTCTTTCTTTTAAAACTTTTTAAATGAAATCTACAGCAGGCAAAGAATGTTTGGAATTTTTAGTTTTACTGAGGCATTACTAATGTACAATACAGTATGTTTAGAATTCGTGATATTAATGATACTGGGGTCACTTTTTTATGTTTTAGGAAATTTTTCTTATAAAATTATGTGATTATTTGGAATAAAATTGGTGCATATATGAGAACAGTGTTAGAGCATTTTGTCATTCTGTTGTCTTATTGTATTTGTTAATCCCCTTTTAGATGTAAAAAGTATGTTTTTAACTATAAAGATATTAACTGTCTTCATATCATAACTTCTTTATATAGCCTAGATTTCTAAATGTTACTTTTTGTTTAAAAAACTTTAGGAAAATAGTTAAAAAACAGTACTATACTTTAGGAAAATAGTTAAAAAACAACACTATACTTTAGGAAAATAGCTTAGAATCTTGGCCTCCTTTATTTTTCCAAACGCTGGCTGCAGATCAGAATGTCGAATGTCGATGAAGACCGCACGCTGCTGTCCTCTCATTGGAGCTTCTAGACTGAGAAGGGAATCCTGCCAGTTTACTGCCAAAAATGAGCCAGAGTGAGCCCAGTGGACCACAGGCAGCGGTCATGGGAATGGTACAGGCTGAGGGTTGTGTTGAGTGTTGTTGTGTTGGGAACTGACAACACAGTGACATGTATAATGCAGATTTTTCAAAATTAGAAAAATAAACACAAGTATCTTAGTTCTACCACCCAGAGACAACCCGTGCTATAGCCAAAGATGTGTAACGTGGCCAGAGGTCTGAGGAAGGTAGAAATGGTGGAATGCAGGGCTGGGAACACTACACTGAGGAAGAAGGAAAAGTAGCCTTATCCAGAAGACACAACCAACGCACACACTACCAGTGTGTAATTAGAGTTCAGAATCCAGAAGAAAGGGTCAGGAAGCTGTCTGACCTCTTCAAATCATATGAGAAAACGTGCCGTTTAAAAAAGCAGGAAGCCATAGGAGAGGAACAGGTGGAGGTCCCTGTGAAAAGCCTTCTTACCTGAACGCCAAAGTGCAGAAGCAAACAAAAATGCAATTTGGAAATGAACAATAACGTGATGGCTACTTCAGAAAGCAGACGTTCTCTGAGAACACAGAGGACACCGAGTTGGTACCCAGAGGAGGGTGGACGATGATACTCTCTGAGAACGCAGAGGACACCGAGGTGGTACCCAGAGGAGGGTGGACGATGATACTCTCTGAGAACACAGAGGACACCGAGGTGGTACCCAGAGGAGGGTGGACGATGACACTCTCTGAGAACGCAGAGGACACCGAGGTGGTACCCAGAGGAGGGTGGACGATGATGACAGGTGAGTGGACTGGCAGCTGCACACACTGATAGTTGACGTTTCTAAAGGAGAAAACCGTACGATAGAAAGACTTGTGTGTGTGTATGGGGTGGGCTCCTGTTGCAGACAAATCTGTGAGAAAGGTTCTCTAATTAAAGCTTAAATGACAAGGATCCAGCAAAAAGCAAAGTGACCTGTAGGAATGTCAAACAGGGAACTCAGAGTCTAGAGGGAAAACCTTCATTCCAAAACTTAGACTGACTGAGGGAGTCTTTGACAGGGGAAGACAGTAGACATTTCAGCTGTGTGAATACTGAGAAATAGTACCATTTATGTGCTCTTCATGAGGAAAGAAACCAGAGATGACCAATTTAGAGATGAAGAACGCTGAGTTTATTGTATCTCCTCATACCAAAACTCTAGCAAACACTGAAAGAAGTTAAACACAAATAAATTTAGGTAACTGCTCTAAGTGTGCTGTAAAAGTAGAGTGAAACGTCAGATTCCTACAGAGAGAGAGAAATCATGGGAAAAACAATGACTGTTTGGACGGAGCCACTGTCACTCAGGATCCCCTAATTGTATTCAGCTGCCACGTGAACCGCAGACCACTGTGGTCCACTTAGGAGGACTGTCCTGCAGCCTCATCAGAAGTAGAATGAACCTGCCCCATTTCAGTACCAACTTTCACAATCAGAAAACCGGAGAGTAAAGACTGCTTTGGAGCACAATGAGAAAGTGACTGCTATTGAAAACAGCACAAATCGTCTCCAAAACCCTGCAGGAGACAAAGGGAAGCCTCTGTACAGATGGGAAAGAGAGACAGCCGGGAGCAGGAAAGGACACTATCGAGGTCTGTAAAGTCATAAAGACACTTCTGTTACTGACCTGTGCTATGAAATTCCAAAATCGGACCTGTGTTTCCTAGGGAAAAAACAAACTACCAATTTTATCTCAAGACATCTACCACAGAGAATCATAGAAGTATGATTTTTAAATAATAGAGTTTAAGAATATGTAAAATTATCAAGGAAGAGCAGCATCAAGTCCAGGGGATTCTGTATGTGAATTGTTTTAAACCTTCAAGGAGTAAGCATTTAAAACGAATTGAACAAACCTTTCCAAACATAGAAAAGCATCTTGATTCATTTTATACAGTAAGCATGGAACCAATACTGAGAAATTATGAATTAAAAAAAAAAAAAGCAAAAGTCTTAAATTATGAACGAATCAACACGAACTGCATGTGACAAGAACGTTCAATTGTAACCAAGTAGAATAAAGTGGATTCTAGAAATACAAGGTGGGCTTTCTGGTAAGCTAATATATTTCATTATGTTAGCAAAGGAAGTCATTATCGTTTAATTTACATTCGTAATAAAAACATTCCTAGTAAAAGAATATGAAATCAACACCAACAGCGTTACTATGAAGCACTAGAAATGTATCTGTCCAACTCACTGGGACCCTGTGTGAGGGCAGAACTGCCTCATGGGCTTCCCGAGGCTGGAACCCTTACAGAAGCACCCTGACATGCCTTCTCACGTGTCACAGCCGGCCAAACTGCTGACCTCTCCCTTAGCAGCTGAGTACTTGCACTGTGCCCACTGGGCTCCAAATGTCAAGGTGGTTAAGTGCCATCGCGTCAATTCCAAATCATAGGGACTCTATGTAGGCTTTCCAAGGAGGTGCCAGGAGATTTGAACTGCAAACCATGTGGTTAGCAGTCCTGTGCTTATCCTACAGCCACACCAGGACTCCATATTGATGTGCTTGTTGGTGGCAGTGGTGTGCCGAAGAGTCGGTGCCAACTCACAGGGACCCTGCACAGGGTTTCTGAGGCTGTAAATCTCTACGGGAGCAGAAAGCCCTATCTTTCTCCTGCGGAACAGCTGGGAGTTTCAAACTGTTGACCTTGAGCTTAGCAGCTGACTCATAACCACTACGCTACCAGAGCTCCTTCCTGTTAAGGCTAGGACTAGAAAATAAAGAAAGGTGTGTGTTTAGGAAGCAGTGTATGCTCAGAGGGGTTTCTGGGCTGGGAATGTGACCTGTCTGGACTTGGGCAGTGTTATG